TCAGGGTTAATGGTCAAATTGGCGTCCATAAAGAGATCCAAGATGCCATTCGATTTCATGTACGTACTCAGTGATGTTCACGGAATCCATCAATGAGTGTGGAATACTTTTTGTCCGTATGCTCCTGTTTGGGCAATCGGGGGGAAATGCACAGTTGCAAAGAAAGAGGGTGATTAATGTATTCGAATTAGACAATCATTTAGCTTACAGCAGAAAATATTTGTTGTTTTTTTTAAATTTAAACTTGACTGGGTGCCACCTCTCTAGTGTTAAAAAAATCTAAAATTGAGCTACTAAAAAATACTCTACAAAATGGAGTGTACTGTCCACTATAATGTTTTAGGAGGAATTTCGCGACTCTAAAGTAAAAAGTTTCTATCTCAATAATTATTGTGGAAGAGAGCATTTCAAAGTTCTGGTCCTCTCTAAAACAAAATTGTATTACGTGTATTCAAACTTTGTCAGTGTACTTGACATCCAAACACAAAAATGTAGACTGATTATTATTCTAAAAGCATAGGTAGAAATCAAAACTTTTTTTACAGCTAGAACCTTTCTACTCTGAATATATATTTTCAAGTTCGAGCAAAAAGGTTCTATCATTGACGGAAGCAAAATTTGACTTGTACTACTTAAATAATGGCAATTATCCATGTAATTGTATAATTTATTAAATTTTAATGAATTTAAAGAAATATGCTTACATTTTAGTACAAATCTTATTTTAGTGCTCCATAATATTGACATTTTAATTTAATGTCATTACTTAGAATTAGCCAACTAGGAGTGGAAAAAAGTATCTTATTGTAAATTTCTGAAATACACTTAAATTTGAAATGATGTTTTACATACATATTAAACTAAAATTTCGCGTAGCTATAATACTATTTTTTAAACAATTCTTTGTTAAAAAAATAGGTTTGATCGAGAGTTGGCATCCATTTCAACATGCAGGCTAAATCGGCTACCTCTTCCTTAAAATTATATCTTTGGCCACATAGTGCGTCTGAACGGGTGGATTGATGAGAGAAGACCTTTTCGCCACCCATTTTCTAAAAATGTGTAATCGCACATTTTTGGTGTAAAATTGTACATCAGAATGTTTTATTTTATTCCCCTTGAGCTTGTGTTTGTATGAATTTTAGTTGCGAAACTTGAGAGAGTGGTATTATATTAAAATGCAGATGTTTGCGCTTGGAAGTTCTTGAAATGCATTGTTTCCAAATGAATAACAATAAATAGCGTTTTTCTATTTACTACCAAAAGAATCCGCAAGAAAGAAGTCGGTGACCAGAATTCACTAGCTTTCGAAACTTTCTGCATCTGGGAAAGAACATTGTCTAATTCCTGAATACACGAGTGACGAGTACTATTTCATAAATAGTAGTAGCATTTCATAAATATTCCTCGATTTGTGGATATCGTCTGAGCAAGCTCTTCAAGGCCAAAGACGCCATCTGATTTTTGTTTTGGGGTACACAGCTGTCACTCCACATAATGATTTACCATAAGTGAGTTTTGAATTACTTTTTTCCAAAATTTGGGAAACGATACTTGCAATGTTATTTCCAGAACGACCTGTGCCCTTTTGTGTCGAAATTGCGTAATATATATATATATATATAATATATATATATTACGCAATTTCCCTTAAGCTAAACTTTCTACATAAAATAAGTACGTGGTGGGAAGCGGAGGTTTATTAAAACATTTTTTAAATATTTGAAGTCGCTGCCTGATATGATTTCGAAAATTTTTCATGACGGAAACTTTTATTTTGTGACAAGGAGACAACACATTTTCAAAAGCAGAACAACAGACTCTCAAAAGCCAGAACCGGATCGTCATTTCGACCCGTGAAGCTGTGCTGGTGTCAATTGCAGATTTGAAAATCTCGGGGAGGGATATTTTGCATTACCTAACTGGTGTTATCACGATATCGCAAAGTCGAGATAACGGGAAGATCTGATGGCAGAATAACACAATATGTCTTCGCATCGGAAGCTAATAATTGCTGTTTCTCCCTCCATCGAAGCAACACCACCTAGATACTAAGTGGTGTTGATCGAAGCCACGAATATTTCGTAGTGGCCTCAAATTCCCGATCTAAATTAATAAGGCATTTCACAAAATATGAAATTTGACATAACATGTATAATTTCCTTTAAAATTTTTCTCTATAAAATGTTACGTAATGTTTTGATTGCTGACAGCTGTTCAATTTTTTTGAATTAGTGACAATTTTGTTCTCACGGAACTACACATCGTATACTGGTGAATTAGTGGTGCATCAGGAACAAATATTCCATTCATTATTATTACCTTTGCATATGAAGACATATTCTGTATCACGTAAGGGACTCGGGGCCCTAGAACCCGCAACGTATAAAACAACCGGACGTCCAACAGAACAGCCGGGTTCGATTCTCATTCGGGGTGGTTTACTCAGTCATTCAACTATAATGGCGGTCTGATACTAATATGTTAGGTAAACAATTCGACAGAACCCAGGAAAAACAATGTAATAATAGAATATTATGACTCTTATAACAATAACACAAATAAAAACGGACATTTCCTTGAAGCCTTGGTCCATTACCATGTGCTATTGATCGATCGATATTACACCATGAGCGTTTCTACAGTTTCATTCGTGATGGGGTTTTCACATCATGGTTTCATTCATTGGCAGTTTTTCCAGAGATCCAAAGGCAAGACGTTTCATATGGTAAGCCAGTCGGAAGTCGGATGGTTGGTGGCTAATACCATTATTGTTTGAGAGCTAAAATTTTGACAAATAAAATAACCAGTGAAACTGAATCTCACACTCTTGGTCTACAAATGCATGCTTTAGCGGTTTTTCTCATTATAATTAGTCTAATAGCACACGATGACAAGAATAGGATGGGATATGAGAAAGTAACTTAATATAGATCCATTTTGTTTCCATTATTTTTTTATTAACTTCTAATCAAAAAATAATTGGTCAGCTGTGCAAATTGTTGTGATCGAGAATGTAATTTGTATTGAATTTGGTTCTTTTAACTTAATTTTGGAATTACCATCCAAACTTTCTTGTGTTATGCATTGTCTAACAGTAGAATGATGCTTCTTATGACTGACAAGAGTACAAACATTTCTGTCAATAGCCACTATTCAGATGTCATCTCCAAAGAATGAAGACCTTATGAAAATGGGGCTAAAACAGCACGTACTTTCTCTCCCGTATTTTTCACGCCAAAAGTGCTCAAATTTTCGTACAATTGCACATGACTTTATTCAAAATGTAAATTTTGAACTTTTGCAATTTTCAAAAAACAGGAAACATGAGACCTGCACCGTTCTCGCACGTCCTTCACACTATTCAACAACAAAATTTAGTCAAAATTGATGGAGCCATTTTTTTGGAAATTTGAAAAATGTCTCAAGAAGCTTCAAGTACCCCCCCCCCCCAAATTAAAACACTGGTTTCAAACTCAAGGGGCAGCAACATTAGCCAGATCGATTGAGGATGAAATCAACTGAACGGTTAAGCCGCTAGTGTTATTCACAGATGTTCAGACCTTTTGCCATCAATCGATTTTTCTGTATCAAGGAGAGAGGCGAATTAAGAACTTCGTCGCCTATAGGCACGCAAAAATTGCCGCCCATTTGCTTTTCAAATAACCCAGGAATAAAGTTATATATGAAAACAAGTATAATTTATGTTTAAAAATTGGACACACAAACGAAATAAGCCATCTTCAAACAGATTATCAAAATTATGTGTTTAAGTATGCATTACTTCCAAAATGTGTACTATGAATTAGTTATTGTTATTATAAATATAAATATATAAACATTATAATTAAAAAAGGGCTGTTACCAAATTAATTTGCGAATGTTTAATAATTTTGTTCAAAAACTCACAGAATACAAAATAAGAATAATAAAAAATAAAAATAAAAATCAACGAAGGAGAAGTTAGATATATAAAGATACAATATGAATCCACAATTTTTGCCGCCGTGGACACATGCCTCCTGTGCCCTGCTCAAGGGCTCACAAAACATGGATTCTGGCTACACGATGTGTTCGAGGATTTTTCCCCCTAAATTTAGCAACTGGATTTATCCACTTTTTCTTTGCCAGGGCCCGTAATAAGAATTTCTCTGCCGAAAATTCGCCGTTTTTTGGCGCAGCATTATATAACTTTCTTTCGACTCCATTGTGGAAAAATAAAAATGAATTGTTCTTAGTTTTTGTATGACTCTTTGAATTAATAAATAAGAATGTTCGGAATTAATTTAATAATTAACTAGTGTTAACTTTCTGAAGCAAATTTTATCATTAAAAACAATAAACATTGCAGTGAAAGTTGAAAATGAAAGATTGGCTGAGGAAACTGAATATATGTAAAAGGATTTTTTCTGAAATGGCAATCAAAAAGCTAACTTCCCCATTTCAAATAAGACATAAGTTAAGGATACCATTCAAAAAATATCTCACTCATTAATTTTTTTTTGTCTCCTCAAAAATGCGTATGAAATTTCATTAACTAAAAAATGAAATGTACACTTACTTCTTAATGCCTGTTCATAGTAATCCCAATGAAGATGGGTATTGAAAATAAAATTAAAAGAATATAGAAACCAAAATAATTTAAAATGAGTAGTAAATGAAGAATAGATATGGCTTCTTAATGAAATTAAGAAGTATTAAAATCTAACCCATTGAATCATACATTAATCTTACATTCATAGATATTTCAATAATTTCTTATGTACCTGAAGCAATTTACGTGAGGAAACGAATTTTTATTTGTTATTTCAATAGCAGTATGAGACATGTATGCTTAGCATGTTTTATTGTTTTTTGTCGGGATACATGAATACATCATTATATTGAAGATATTTATATTTTCTATTGAAGGTATATATCATGTATTAACTATTTCTGGATATCTAGATCTGTGAGAACCTGAAACAAGACATGATATGTGTTAGAAACAAATTCAAGAACACACTATATTTATATACGTAAAGAAGACAAACAGAGAGTTATAAGTAATGTTGTTCTTTATCAGCTATTCTATTACAATTTTACAAATTTTGAATTATATTAAAATAAAGGAATGGATTTCATCAATTGGCAAGAAAAACAGAGCTCAGTAATATTAGAAATCAAAATTCCTTCCAATAAATATATATTTATATTACAATGAGCTGTTCTCTTTTACTCATTAAAAATTTCATGAATTTTCCTGTTTTTAGGGGATCCTTCACAGAGCGTCAGCCCTTGAAGTAACATTTTATCACAGAGTCATCTTTTTATGCTATGTATTATACTTATTTTTGTCATATTTGTTTTGTGTTGTGTCCTTGTGTGTATTCATGAATTTATTGAAAATGAGTCATTAAGTTGTAAATAATGGAAACTGACATTTTAAGTTAAATTACGATTATTGGATTTTGTGAAGGGGATAGCTCGCAACATATTCCTTTGCATTCAAAAGGCCGCAATGGACAATAATTCACTTAATCTTTGAAATTTGTGCATTTTATTTTGTGTAACATTTATATAGTAGTTTCCTCTGAAATATGATATCTAGGATACCAGAGATATAACTTACAATTCTCAGAAAGTATGTAGGTCCCACAAAGTGAAGAAAATGTAAACAAAGGTTACTAGAAAAATATTGAATTTGCTACTAATAGTGAATTTCAAATAATTTGTTTATTCCACATAAAATATCAGATATTGATTAATATTTCTCAGAGGCATTTAAGAATGTGGTTTTCACAACCATTTAAACAAAAATTGTCAATTTGTACATGGTGAATGTGTTTTCTAAACTAAAAAGAGTAAAAATATTGTAACATGTTACATTTCTTTAACCTAGTATAAACAGTTCTTAAAAAATTATTGAAAAAATTTCTATAGAATGAATCTTAATCTACCCATTTTAGCTAACTTTTGCAGTTTGATTTACAAATATCATGTACAAACATTTGCAAGAGTTTCTTGGGGGTGAAAAATCACTACTGATTGCTAAACAAATGCAATAGTGTATTCCAAACACATAGTATATAGATGTGATACTTTCATTCTCTCTCTGTAAAGGTGGCTGAAACATGAATTTCATGTTCTTATGGAAGGAGATAAGAGATCAATAAGAACACACTCCCATACTCAATAGATTATTGTTCATGTGTTTATTAAAAATATAAAATATGTGAAATATTAAATACAGTGTTATTAAAATATTATAAAGGTTAAAGACAAGTAATAATTGACATATACATAAAGAATAAATATTTAACTTAAACAAATCAATACTTTACTATTTCTCTCATATTCCTACTAATTCCAAAAGTTATACAATTCATGAAGGGAAAATTGTTAATATCAATTTTTGGTGCCAAATCACCATTTTTACTTCCAAAAGTTTATGAAAACGGATATAAAATCAACATTAAGCATAATTAATTGTATTCAAAGATACTACTACTAGTTGAGTAAGAATGTCCAATTTGTACTATTTTGTTGAATAATATTGTTTTGTACTTTTACACCACTTACACATTTTTTCCTGCTTTCACATTGTTTGCATCTGTGATTTTTTTCATATTGTGGACAGAGTATCGATTATAAAGTCCCCAAATGCTGTTCATTAATTTTCCATTATATTTTGCTGGTGGATTTTCCATGTCTGTAAATGCAGATCAAATGTTGAAGGTACACTGTGCTAACAATTACTTACTTAATGATTAAATATACAGCTTAATAGACAGAAAGACAAGAGAAAAAATCCAAATAAATAATAAATTGGTCACTTTAGAAAACATGTGCACAGGAGGCAAAGATAAACACTTTTAACAAATGAGTAAGAATGTCCTTTTTCCACTGTTTTGATGCATAATATAGTTTTGTACTTTTTACATCACTGTGGTGGGAAAATTCATATAGCAAAGCTACACATGTGACATAAGCCACCGGTTGCCAGGCAACTTCTCTTATAGTTAGGGACTGGCTGAGGTGGCTTAGGTCATCAACTGACGTCACTACAGTGCCTCCTAGAGTTTGTCTCGACAGTGGCAGGATTTTTGACACTAGGTAGATAGAGGGGTCGAATTCAGCTACTGTCTGCAGGGGAACTCTAGCGGTCAGTTGTTCTGATCAGTAGTTCTGTGGTTTCAATGATCAATACTAGGTAAATGTCAGAACAATACCCAAACAAACGGGTCAAGAACCGCGTGTGATCTTTCCTTCCTTTTCCTTGTCCTATCCTCACTCCTTATACACAGTCACATTAACACTTATGTGCACTATACTACCACTCTTGCCGGGAGAGTAGATCTTGTCTCGACTGGGGCAGTGCCCCGCTCGTGGGAGACACCTGATTGGGGAAATCCTGCTAGCCTATAGTAGGTTGGTGCCAGATCTCATCATCTAGAAGGGAAGATCATCGCTACCTCCAGAGGAAAAACGTTCACTACACTTACGAGACTAATTACTTTAGCAGGTGATGTGGCCGGAATCACTAATCATAAAGTGGTGTTTGATGGGTAAATGAAATCTAATTGCATAAGAACATTATGTGCCAAACACCAGTGTATGAGAAGTTGCCTCAAAATCAGGTGCAAGTGTCAAACATATAACTTTATTATTTGAAATTTCCCACAGTCTGTTTATTGGTACACAGTGATCATCTTTACCCCCCTTACTTAGCCTAGCTGATGTACTAACATTAAAAAAAATATTATTTACTGTAGATCATTTTAAATCAGCAAGGACAGTAGTGAGCACAGAATGTTCACATGTTTATTTGTATTACCTGTTTACAACCAGAAGTGGATCCAGCCGATCATTTGGGGAATATCATAGATTTTTGTTAAATAATAAACATAATTATTATCATATTGTATATTATTTTTGTAGGGTATATTTGATACTTAACAGTATTATTTTTTAAATAATTATGTAATTCTAATAAATATTTAAATCAATTTTGCCAAAAATAGGAAGGTAACTTGGGCCTTGTGAGGGGCATGGCTTCCATACTTCCCTCTCCACCTCCTTGATCCACCACTGTTTACAACAGGTGAGATAAAGGGTTATATGTTTGTAACACTGAGACATTCTGTGCATTTACATGTATAGTACATACATACATTCACTCATACATGTGTCCATTTATATAAGCACATGAAAACATATGGGGAGCAACTAATCAAAATGATTTAGCCTAAAGAAAAAATTTAATTTATTTTGAAGAGGTCATGTCATAGGATTTAACAATTTCTGATGTGATTATTTTGTTTTCTTCCTTGAATTTCATTGTTTCTGATTTGTCATATCTTTGGTATATGCTTAGAAAGTTTTCAGTGGATTAAGAATTAATTTCAAACTTGTAGAATTACTACAAGTACACTTTAACATTTTGATTTTGTGCTCCATATACAACGTACATACAATTTTAGAATGTTTTTGTATTGAATTAAATTTTTTAATAACACTAGCAAAATCATCACTTTCTTGTAAAAATGAATCTACCTGAGAAAAACTAACCTCTGAGTACTTGTCTAGATGGAATCCTCAGGTATGCCTACTGTGAGATAGTGATTCTCGCACCCTTTCACACTGAGGAACGTCCTATGTTTTGGTGACTCAGAACAATTGCACCCTTTTCCCAACATTGATGCCCCTGGTCACATTCCTATCATAATGTTGCTTCCAACACTGAATTTTCTGGTGCCTCGTGGGATGGTACCTATGTACCTGGTTTCATAACTTTTTTAATGGATGAATAACAATTATGTTTCGACAACACTGTTGCATAATACACAATTTTTCAATCCTGTTAATAGGAGGAATAAGACACATCTCCGTTAAGAAAATGAGATACATCTTCATTATGAAAATGTTCAAGTAAATTATTATATTTCAGTAATAGGTATATTTTATTACAAGATAAAACTGCTTTTATGTACTCAGAAAAATCTAAATTCTACGGAGAGTGAAGATTACTTTTGGATCATAAATGTAAATATTACCTAGTCAAAAAGGGTGGAGATTGTATCTTAAGTCCTAAAAACAGAATTGGGCTTTTACTTCTGAACTGAATTTAATTTGTGCTTACCTGATTTCATTTTTTCCATGTTTGAATGCACTTTGCGAGCAGCAAATGCTCCCTGAGGAATGGATGACATATTTTCTTTCTCACAATCTGTAACAAAGGGAGGTTGTACTTGCAAGTAGTATTGTAGATTTGGTAATATAGCATAATATATTAGAATCATTCAAAGGGTTAAAAATGTGAGTTATCGCAGGAAGGGAGTCTGAGTCGTTTGGTTTATGACCAGGCATACTAATCGTCAACCAACTACGTGACAGAATGGTGGCTATTGTATAGAAAGTCTTTCGTCCAGATACTATACTGTCGAATTGCACGACACAGATTTACAGAAGAGATTCGCGCCAACACTTTTAATTAAATTGTTGGAATAATTTGGCGGTTTAGACAAATTAACTAACATGCCTGCCTGGGCGTATTTAACAAATAAAACGTTCAATCCATTGTACTGTAACATTTCTTTCTTCTTGACTTATTTTTAGCAGTTGGGGTCACACCACCAACTGTCTTTAAAAATGGAATCTGATGTAATCCGTGATGTCTGACTTTCACCAAGGCTCGTCGATGCGTATGAGGTCGTCTCGTTCCGCCATTTGTGACCCGGAAAGTCTTCATTGCGTAGGTGGAATGGGGTGAGGATTGGAGGGGCCATCGAAGGACTCGGCTGTTGCATTTAGCTCGAGTCTTACCTGGACACGAGTCGAAGATAACGCTCTCCCAGTCGACAAGACAGTCGGCTTCGGACACGTCGCAAGCGGACAGAGCGATCGCGAAGTCTTCCGCAGGCAAACGCATGCAGGTCTCGCAGCACAGCATGCGAGGCGGTCGCGGCGAGGAGGGCGAGGGCGCGAGGGCGCGAGGGAGGCGGGACGGCGCGGAGTCGGAGGCGACAGCGGCGGTAGCGGCGCACTGAGGCTCCGCGGCCGGCCGCCGGGTGTTTTGATGATCCCGGGGTGTCCTTGCCCGATGACGTCGTATTGACGAACCAGGCCTCCTTATCGCCGAGGAGGGTTCACGCAATGGCACGGAGCTATCGGAGGGGGCAGCCGTTGGGGCCGAGGCAATGGCTGCATGTTGCTGCGGGAGCCCCCCGCCCTCCTTCCCCGCTTTGCGTCTTCCCAGGCGGCCTCCCTTCCCCTGACCAGACCCCACGACGTCTTTGTGCCGTCCTCGCGGCTGCGGAGGCAATCGACGGCCCCGGCTCGGTAGACGCCCACCCAACATTTGCCACCATGGACGATTTGTGGCTCGTGGATCCAACGGTACTGATCACTAACCTGCGTGAAGTCGCGTAGTTCAAAGGAACACGCAAAAGTTTGCGTCAGTTCAAGATTTTTGAATGCTCAACCACTACATAAATAGTTATTTCCTATTCGAATTTAATTCTCAACTCGCGTTTTTGATCGCGTCGTTCGAACGTCTTTATTGTTAGGTTTGAACACTTTTTTTGCATATACTTGTCAGTTAGGCTGTAGACTCCAAGAAGTCTGTGCATTAAGCACACTGAACACTTAAAAATAGCCTTTCAACATCGGGGGGGGGGGGGCTATTTTCTAGGGAGGGAGGAGGGCGTTCAGAATTTCAGGGAGGAATGTCTCTACAAATGAAACGAAGGACCATCTTCCCTTACGCAATAAATACTAAGTGCGAATAAATACTAACAATGTTTCTGGCAAAAGTTTCTTTTACAATTTCTTTGATTTAGATTCATGGGCAGGGACATAACTGATGCAACCGATGCGCGGCTCCAGTCTTCCCGAAATCAAGAGCCCCGGTAGATGACACCCGCCGACCCCCCAGAAAGACAATGGCAATGAGGAGCCCCATTTAAACATTCTGCATCTGGGCTCCCAACAAGGTAGCTAAACCTATGTTCACAGATTAGAACCTTTAAGTCATCAATGTGGCACCAATATATAGAATAATATTAGCAGGAACAAATTACTATTTTTCTAGAAAGAGATGTCAAACACACTAGGAGGATGATCCTCCGCGACTTCCCCATTAATTCGCAACCTGTTGTCACTCGAAATTTAGCAACATCCGGAAACGCATTAATATCTTTCTTAAAATGACAGTAAATAATTGTGGTCTGAAGAATCTTCAAAATCCGTGACAACACAAATTCCCTACTCTAGAACATCTTGAATGTATATTGTTCACTAGTTAACATATACGACTCGGATGGTCAACTTTCACTGTAATACGCAGTAGATCATGTGGACATTGTGGGCATATCTGAAATTTTCGAAAAATTAGGAATATTGACGAAAATGAGATTTAGTATACCATTCTTTTAATCGTTCTTTACACTCTTTGAGGACAAAGTTTAATCAAGAAATTTGGAGCCATTTGTTTGTAAAAAAGTATGCTTTGATATTCGAGCACTTTAGCTCAAACCGTGGGAATCTCATAGGAGCATTTCAACATACAATAATAATCAGTTGATAAACCATTCTGGCGAAGAAAAATACGTATTACTATTAAAGAGTTTTGTACTATCAGTCCAGAATAACCCTCGGTAGTTAGTTGGTTAGCTTACTCGTTTTCCTCAGCGCAACCCTGGGTTCGATTCCCGATCGGGGCAAAAATTAATTGTGCGCTTTCTTTGCGATATCCCAGTATCTCTTGCTGTGTGGCAGCTCAATTCTCAGGTTGGGCATACCAGAAATACAGCGTAGGGATGGCTATGTGCTAACCACATGAGCCTCTTAACCCATGGCCGCAAGGCCGGGGCGCTGCTGGTAGGCCTAAACAGCTGTTGTGTCAAAGTATACATACATACCACCAGTGTAGCAGAATTGTTCACATGGGATTACCCCCCCCCTTAGGGAGTTCAATACTATTTTAAACGAAGTTTAAAGCATCACAACAAAATATAAATAAGCGCCGAACGTCTGGTTGCAATTGTGAAGATACCTTTAATGGTAGTAAAAGGCTCATTTGAAAGCTTGGAGAAGGGGTGTCAATCTTTAAATTGGTTCCCTACCATCTTACCAGAGTTAGAAGAGTTCTCCTAACTTTCGGTACTTTTACTAGCCTCCAAATCATCTAGAAAGATAGTTGAGGCCTTGCTTGAAACCTTGGGGATGGGATTGAATTAAATTGATGCCTTACTTTACATGGCGAGACTCGGACCATCAGGCCCGCTCTTCCGTCCGACCAGGCAAATTTCGCTACGCTCCTTTCACCAACTACCGGAGAAAGGGGGTATTTCTTGGGTGGCTAAAACTGCGATTTGAATTTAGCTCAGAGGCTCATTTAGGCTTGATCTTTTACATGCAAGTAAATCTACTCTCATGGACCAGCCGGTTTTACTTCCCCTCCGAAGGAAGGTTTTTTTTCACCCTGAAAAATCTACGGCGTCGAACCCGGTTTGAACCGTCAACTTGGGTATAACAGTTCGATACACCATCGCCGCCGCCGGGGATCGGGTTCACCCACAAATAAATGTAAAATGGCTGGATTATTTTTTTTTTCATTTCAATTTTATTATTATCATCATGATTCTATCTTTCATACCTGCAGGACTACCAACCCTGGGGGATAAAAATAGGATTCAACTTAATGCTGATCCCCCCCAAAAGGAGTTACATGCACTTGCCATGGGATAAATGATACTGAACCTCGGAAAGTGCAGGCGCATGTCCGCATGGTTCAAGGTGGCCAATTCACGCCCCCCCCTCACACACACACAAAAAAAAGCCGACATGTTTGCCCGAGATCGCTAAGGCAGCATTAAAATGTTGATTCCGCCCTAGGGAAAAAGTACCGTGCACCTACCACGATAATCAAGTCTGGGCCCCGGTGAGATGCACGTTCCGTGTGGCCCCGTGATGGCCTATTCGCGAAACTCACTCACTCACTACTCACTCACTCACTCACTCACACACACACACACACACACACACACACACACACACACAGAACAAAAAATAAAAGGCTGATGGTAGAATTAGGGATGTAATGCCATATTTATTATTTTATCGACTGTTTTGTTCGAAGAGAGAAAACACTATTTCAAAGAAAGTATGCCGAAATAAGGGTGAAGGTACTTTTTCATGTGATTAAATAGGTAGGTACAATAGAAATTGGTGTGAAGGCGAGAGCCGGTTCATAAACCTTTATCACAAGAAGACTGCCCAATTCTCTGTTTCCGATGATGTAACTGCACCATTCAAGCCCAGTACTCGTACGTTTTGTCGAGAATCACATACAAAGAAATGACGTTTTCATGGGGTTTTATTCTAGTTCCGCCGAACTTTACTCAATATTTACGATATTATTGACCATTTCACATTTCCTAAATGCAAGTAGAGCTATAGAACAGCCCTAGTATGCGAGTAGAACAAAGATTCCTCAGTAAACTGCCAACTTTCCCATTTTTTTATTTTTATCAGACATTTTATCGAACGTGGATATGGTGGTCAATGCATTCGTCTTTGACTATGGAGAAGAATGATGCCGTTTCACATTACTTCACGTTTCTTACGCGAAAAACAATTATTGATTGTTCATATTAAAGAGTATATCTCATATTTGGTACATATTTTCACAATGGTCCATATCTCAGTTTTTCTAGTTCAGCTGTTGTAGATATCTCAACTCCAGCATAGACGTTCCTTGGTGACTAAGAGCCGTGACGTAGTTGGCTCCTTCGAATTGCACCACGTATAAATAAGAACGTCTAGCGCAACATAATTCTGATTAGATTTTAGGACCCAACGTTGCAGAAGATGATATAATGCATCGCGACACAGAGAATGGACGGAAAACAAAAACAAAAAAGTTCGAACAGACAATTCCTGGGTGATGTAGTCCGGTCGAGTAGTTAAGTAAGATGGCGTAGTTTTCAAACTGTTCTTGGATAATGAGTACAAAGTAATGGTTGAAAATTAACATTTCCTGTGGAAGATATGCACCGCACGCGCTTCGTTTGAATTGATCCTTTTCAATTTTTAACTGAGTTTTTAAGCAATTACGAATAACACTGAAAACAATTATATATTTCAATATTACGTAACAATTTCCAATTAAGCGAGAAAGAATGTGCTGATGTAGCACACCTAGTTATTATTCGAATTTCTTAATTCTAATTCTTGTTGTTTTCGTCTTTCAATGCTTATCGAAAGTTAAGAAAGAAAAAAAAAAAAAAACTGTTGTGTTGCGTACTCGCCTCCTGGAAGCTCCGGCATTCCCTTTCAGCCAGACCTGACTATAATCAAGTCGAAATGTTATTTTAGTACCTGCAGATGTAGTTAATAGTTGTGCAATCGGAGCATGATAGTGCTTGTTGAACACGATCTTAAAAAAAACGACATTGTCATCCGCAAGAAAAGAAAATGTTCAAAATACGATGCTCTTGGCATACCTCAAATGCTCTTGCGATTCCCCAAAACTAAAAAAAACAAAAACGAACACTTTGGAGAAAATGACTGTAGTATATTCCTAAATGTAGCATTCATTTTTAAATCTATAAATTCCCCCCCTCAATTATTTTGCAATTTATTGTGGGATCCAACGTTGGGCCCCCCTTCCGTCCATTGCTGTTCTCCAGGTATCAGAATGGAATTTGCATGAGGCTCTTAAATACTGTTCGTTCACTTTTGTCCGCAATTCACAGGTCAGTTCCGCCCCCTGCTTCCTGAATGCATCAGCTTCCTTGTGAATGCACGTTTTGTTTGGACAGAACGAACCTGCGATGCGATGCAAACACGCTTCTTCCGCGTGCTTGACAAAACAACCTTTCAAGAACAGCAAAACATTAAACAGGACTATACAGCGCCAATAAATCGTTCCATTCCCCTTAAAATTTTCCTCGTTTGCAGATTATTAGATAAACGTATTGATCATAAAATGACGTCAACAACAAAATATTTTTCTGTTGAGTTGTAGTGGCGGATCAGTGGAATTTTGCAGTGTGATGTAGACACAGTAGTACTGATAGGATAGGCTAAATAACTGCGTCAACATGTGTCTAATATGAATGACATAAAGAATACTACTAGTTAGCACGCAACGACTTAATAAGCGGCAAATCTATGATGAGAAGGAAGTAGTCCAATCTTGTGGAATTCTAAAGAATAGATATCCTTAGCTAAACAATTAGTTTTTTATCGATTTACAGGAGTACATTTTAGTCTTTCACGTCCCACCGTCCGCATTTCCGGAAATTTAAACTTGATATCTCCAATTTCGTTCAATTTTTACTTTCTTGAAAACGT